CTGATGTAGTAGAGGATTAGACTAGAGTTAGTAAATAATATGTTTAGCATCATTTTTGATTATTTTAGGCTAGAGTTAGTGAATACAATGTTTAAGCATCATTTTTGATTATTTTGGGCTTGAGTTAGTTAGCATCATTTTTGGTTATTTAAGGCTAGAGTTAGTAAATGCTATGTTTAGCATCATTTTTGATTATTTTAGGCTAGAGTTAGTGAATACAATGTTTAAGCATCATTTTTGATTATTTTGGGCTTGAGTTAGTTAGCATCATTTTTGGTTATTTAAGGCTAGAGTTAGTAAATGCTATGTTTAGCATCATTTTTGATTATTTTAGGCTAGAGTTAGTAAATGCTATGATTAGCATTATTTTGATTATTTTAGGCTAGAGTTAGTAAATGCTATGTTTAGCATCATTTTTGATTATTTTAGGCTAGAGTTAGTGAATACAATGTTTAAGCATCATTTTTGATTATTTTGGGCTTGAGTTAGTTAGCATCATTTTTGGTTATTTAAGGCTAGAGTTAGTAAATGCTATGTTTAGCATCATTTTTGATTATTTTAGGCTAGAGTTAGTAAATGCTATGATTAGCATTATTTTGATTATTTTAGGCTAGAGTTAGTAAATGCTATGTTTAGCATCATTTTTGATTATTTTAGGCTAGAGTTAGTAAATGCTATGATTAGCATTATTTTGATTATTTTAGGCTGGAGTTAGTAAATGCTATGTTATTAAGCATAATTTTTGATTATTTTAGGCTAGAGTTAGTAAATGCTATATTTAGCATAATTTTTGATTATTTTAGGCTAGAGTTAGTAAATGCTATATTTAGCATAATTTTTGATTATTTTAGGCTAGAGTTAGTAAATGCTATATTTAGCATAATTTTTGATTATTTTAGGCTAGAGTTAGTAAATGCTATATTTAGCATAATTTTTGATTATTTTAGGCTAGAGTTAGTAAATGCTATATTTAGCATAATTTTTGATTATTTTAGGCTAGAGTTAGTAAATGCTATATTTAGCATAATTTTTGATTATTTTAGGCTAGAGTTAGTGAATGCTATGTTAGCGTCATTTTGAATTATTGCAAGCTAGAGTAAGAAACACTGTTTAACAAGTTTTTGCAGAGGGACAAAGGCATTAGATGAGAACTATAGGTTCTTGTATGTTATTTATTTGACTTTTAAATGATGTATTGTGGATCCAAACAATGATCTTGATTTCATTTAAAAATAGACTTTAATATAGGGCCTAAATTTAAAAAATATATTTCTAAGAGCCATCAAGGAACTTTCAAAACAAATTATTTATTTGCTGTGAAGTTTGAAATAGTTGTAGGTTGGATATAAACTGAAGTAATGTTAAACATTTCATTATTTTTCCAAGCCTAACAAGTCCCTTGGGTTAACTTACCAAATTTTCACAATTTTCATGTCAAGGATAATTTCCTTGGAGATGCTACTTATAAATCTGTTCTGGATGTTAAGCATTGCAAAACATGCTTGTTTTGGCACTTTAATAAAGGATGAAATATGAAAATAATTAATGGCTTTATTTTAGAGCAAACAGGATTTAAACTATTTACACAACCTATAAAACATATCCCCATTCAGGACAATACAATTAGATCAAACTCATGCTTGATATTGAATTTTAATATGATTGAGGGGTGGTACAAAATTTCAAAGTAAACACTTCTTTCTTGGTCTCATTTTGGAGATTTCTGCCAACAGAATACACTGGCGGATTAGGGGGGGGGGGCCTGGGGGCCCGGCCCCCCCCCCTTGGGTGGGTCCAGAAAAAAAAATTGGGCCCAAAAAATTTTTTGGGCCAAACAAGGCCTTCAGGCCCCAAAAAGTCGGCCTTTTTGGTCATTACTGGGCCTTTTAAGGCCTTATTTTTTAATCTCAGGCCAAATTTTGGAGAAAATGGGCCTCAAAATATCAAAATTTGGGCCCACTTTTGGATTTTAGGGGCCCAAAATTTTTTTCCGCGCAAGCCCGGACGTTTTTTTGCTATGACCTGAAATTTGGGCCCCCCCCTTGTTGGTTCCTGGATCCGCCCCTGGAATAACCCAGATATTAAATCAAATCAAAGTCTTTGAGAAAAATGACTACAGAAGGTCAGAGTCAAATATATATCTAAGTAAGATAATTAAGTCGAATTGGCCATCATCATGGTATGACTTTATAGCTAAATTATAAAGTTGCATTCAGAAATAATGTACAGTAATTTTGTATCTATTACTGCACTTAAAATGTCACTTTCAGTTATAAATGTAATTATCCCAACGAACGAAGTTCGGTAGGGATATAGTGAAGCCCTCCGTCCGTCAGTCAGTCCATCAGTCCGTCCGTCCGTCCGTCCGTCCGGAAGATAACTCAAATACGAGTTGACGGATTTTCTTCATATTTAGTGGAAAGATGTATATTGGTGAATAGTTGTATGCAAAAAAAAAATTTCCAAGATGGCCGCCGCTTTAAAAATGACGGGACTTTTTTGCAAAAACCATAAATTTTTCATTCCAAACCAAAGTAATTAATATTATTGTTTGAAATTTTGGTAGTATATTCGCAACATCTATCTATTTCACATATATTCCGTGTTTTTCATCCTGACCCCCAGGGGCTGTGTATGGGGGGTCAGGAAAACAGTAATTTTCGCTAATTTTTAGATCTTTCTGAAGTATAGCTTTATTATACTCAAATGAAAGGCAATTAAGAGTAGATTGCAAATATTGTATCATTTTTCTGATTCGAGCCTCGTAAAATTCAAAATGGCCGTCTAATGTACGATTTCGCAATAATTTTTCGATCCCTTCAAAGTATGGCTATATTATACTCAAATTGAAGGAATTTTGGAGTAGATCACAATTATGGTATTATTCTTCAGATTTGTACCTCAGAAAATTCAAAATGGCTGCTTTGCAGGAATTCGCAATTCTAAAATTTAAATTTTTCAATTTTAACCAAAGTAATGTTTGATTCCAATATAATTGATTGGAATTCGGTAATTGATATTTTGTTCGTTGGGATTTGCTACTCCGCGGAGTTGCCATTGTCTAGTTTTGTTATTCTTTATGTTTTAGATATTTATATATGAGATTTATTTTTATGTCCACACTAATATTGTTGACATATTGTTATGGTTTCCAATTGATATCAGGCAATCAGAGTTCGGCATCTGTAACATTATGGCAGATGCTGACATTTTGCATGTAAATGCCTTGTTAGTACATGTAAATAGTATTTTTAACCTTTTTTGCAAATATCATCAAATCATGTCAAAACCGGTTCCCTGCTATCTGGCTGATGCCTGCTTACTATAAAGTCTCTTTCCCAATAAGTTTTGATATCAATTGTATAGTAGCACTTATTTTAAACACCATGGTAGCATCTTTCAAAACCCTATCAGGTCTTTCAGGTATGCTTTGGATTTCACTACCCTGCCATTTGTTGAAATTATGAATGGGCAGTAAGGGGAGATAGGGCGAGGAATCGTGAAATTAACTATTATATCCTTAACGTCCTTGTTCTGTCACATACACCCTCATTAATCAAGCTTTTGTCAGTCCATGTGATCAATGCATCTAAAACTGTGGTGGATATACCTAGAATGATACTTTCTATCCTCAAAATGATCTCATTGTTATGTTCTACTGGTGATTGATCACAATCATATTATGATTTGGAGCTTTCCATTGGCTAAGAAATTAAAAAGTGATGAACCACTGCAAATTGTTTGGCCAAAAAATTTGAAATTGCATTGTGTCCAGAGAAAGCCACCGAAGGCTTAGTATTCAAAAATTGCTTAATTTATTTCACAACTTACATTTAATCTTTGACTGACATGTACCAAGCTGATCCATAAGTTCTGAGAAAAATGCTCTTAAATGAAGAGTTTCCTGACGTTTGTTTCAAATATTCACAGATTTATATGTTTGCATGAATTAGAATGCCAGATTTTATTGATTCTGCTCAACTGTGATGAAAATATGGTTACTATGGCTACATGATTTAGAATTAATAATTTCTTACCTAACATCCTCATTACCAGATGAAAATAGTTACATAATCTAATAAATATTTTTATGGCATTAATTTATTTTATTGTTTTAATTATTTAGTTAAATGTATAGATGATTTCTTTTTTAGTTGTATATAGGGTGTCTCAGAAATGTACTCAAAAGTAAAGCAACAGCAAAGATAAAACAAAAAAGTGTAAATTTTGATTGGTTTATCTGTGCTGTTGATATACTTTTGAGTAGGGCTGTGGTGGAATCGGTTCTGACAGTTTGGAATCAGAGTCAGAACTTTGTCTCACGGAATCGGAAATTTCGGAACCCCTTTCGGACCACAAGTGAAAAGAAACAATTAATAAACAAACCAGCTTGATAAGTTGATACAACAGTGTCTTGGCATAATTTGCATATCGTTTTATATTTGTTTTGATCAATTGGAAGTAATACTTCAAAGTTAACTTAAAAACTATTGATCTTTTATCCCCCTCTTCTCATGATTTGGTTTGCCAGCCATTTTCACTTTCTTGTAAATCTAAATGGCAAATGAAAATATAAATGAAACGTACATGCAACTAATACACATGTAGATTTGACGCAGTTTGAAGGAAAACATTACCGGGGAAACACTGGACTTTGATATTAACGATTCAAAGCCAATAGTAGGTGCGGGTCCGATGTTTGTTCAGAACCCTTCGGAGCATGATATAAATGTTCCGAATACCTGTATTCAAGCAAAAGTTCGCAGTTCAGACCGATTACAGTCAAATGGCACGGCCCTACTTTTGAGTACATTTTTTGAGACACCCTGTATATGTACATGTTATTGATTTGTCTCCAGTTTGTGCAATCATGAATAGTCTTGAATAATATCACTCAAAATGGCACAACGGGGACCAATCATTTTTAATGTTTTATGACTATGATTTATTTGTGATTTATAGATATGACCATTTGTAGTGATTTGATTGGTTCTTATTAGGTGATGCTTATTGGCGATTCCGGCGTCGGAAAAACTTGTCTTCTTGTTAGATTCAAAGATGGTGCATTCCTTTCCGGGAGTTTCATTTCCACTGTTGGAATTGACTTCAGGGTGAGACATAAGTGTTAAACATGGAAGTTTTGATTATTGAATAAAGTTGCTTTGATTAAATAAAACTGCTATTTTGATTTGTTAAATATATACATTTTCTTTTCATTAGTAGCACAAAATTTATTTAGTTTCTATTGCTCGTCATTACGTTTTATCCTAGAAGAGTTGCTTCCTAGTCAACTCGTACCCAAGACAACTCGTACCCAAGACAACTTGTACCCAAGACAACTCGTACCCAAGTCAACTGGTACCCAAGACAACTTGTACCCACATTTATTTTCTGTATTATGGGTGCATATAAGAAAACAAATTGAGTCTGTGTCAAAATGTTTAATGTTATAATGTGCCTCAATATTTTTTTCTGAATTTAGAAGACATTTTTTCTCAATGGATTAAGCAAAGCATTTTGTTTTTACTTGGATTACCTTTGAAGTGCTTTGAAGGGCTTGTTCTCTACTTTTTTTGTAATACATATATATAAATGAATATAATTACAACAGTAACTTTTCAACAAATGAATCAAACAATTAATTTAGCTTAGTGCATTCAGAGAAAATTAATAAGGGAACTTTAATCTGTTAATTTCTTTTCCATTTTGAACTTAATTGGATTATATTTGAACACATGCATGCAAAGTGTATTATATCATGTATGAATAAGTATCAAAATAATATTTGATATTCATATTATTTAGAATATTTTTTATTGCTTAATTTTATGAAGGTGACTTCTTAGAATTATCATTCTTTAATCTGATAATATGAAATCCTAAATAGATTATCTGTTTAATAAGAAATAGGCGCAAGTTTTGAAAATCTTTATATTTTTGATAATACCATATTTCAAGATGAATGAGATCTGATACTTGTTCCAAACACTCATTAACATACAAAAATACCATTAATATTGTGAACAATGATTATGAATATGTGGAAGAAACATAAATCTCTTCCCTCGAACATCTGAATCTGTGACCAATATATTTGGTCACAAATTTCAATCGATTTCTTCCAAAAACTCTTCTACATACTTCAAACTATTCTGAACTGTATGTAACCATTATAATATGTATATCTATACCCATTCCCAGCCCAACACTTGATTCAAAACAAAACATATACTTGGGTACAAGTTGTCTTGGGTACGAGTTGTCTTGGGTATGAGTTGTCTTGGGTACGACTTGACTTGGGTACGAGTTGTCTTGGGTACGAGTTGACCAGTTACCGAAGAGTTCATAGCAATATTTTTATGTTACTCTGGGAAGTTTTTTTTATATATATCTCTGTAAATTTCAAAGTGGTGTTATACATCATATTTACAATTTTCTGAATTTTCCTTTTTGAAAAAACAGTCTTGAAATGTTGAACCTAAATATTTCAGAACAATTTTACTAATGGTATAAATTATTTACGGTGATATCACCCATCTGGATTGATTGTACAATAACATTTAAGAGTTGGTAATCCCTATTTTTGTAGCTTATATTTGACTATTGTAGATCGTAAGTTATGTTAACAAAACAAAAATATTAAATTTTGTAAACTATGTATTTTTATACTTTTACATGTATTTACACTAACTAATACAGAGGATGATCAATAAGTAATTGACACTTTTTAAACATTTAATTAAGAAACCAATTAGTCTGATCTATTAAGTCTGATTAAAAAAGTATGAACTTATTGATCATCACATTTTTTTAAAACATAAACTTATTGGTCATCATTTGTTTTAGAAAACATAAAGTTATTGTTCATCCCTCGTACATTTACAACTGAATAATTATCACTTGTTTTCTTTCAGAATAAAGTTGTCAATGTAGATGGCACCAAAGTAAAACTACAGGTTTGTACAGCTTTGCATAGTTTCAGTTAAGAACCATAATTTGACATAATATAGCCTATAAATCAGCTTTATGAAGCTGGGATTAGAAGTTTTACCTCCTTCTTATCTCATAATCCTAGAGATTTCAACAATTTTATCGTTTATGACATGAACGAAACAAAGAAGTGAGCTTAAATAGACCTTTTGTAAGTTACTGTTTTTTCTTGTTCAGCAAATTGCATGTATGTACATGTATGTATGTTTTCTTACTTTTTCTACATATTTCATGGAATTATTTGGTTTTATAGGTTTATAATTCTGCTCTGCTGAAATGCCATTATAATCTCACATATTTTCTTTAAATATTTAAAAAGGTCTGTTACTCAACATGTCCATTTTGAATTTATGTATTTCCTATCATTCCAATATTCAAGACACTCAGGATTCCACTTTACACTTTGGTCTGCATTTTAGATAACTTACATGTACAAACCATTTGAGCAAAATTTATAATAAAAGCATGTTTGCATGTAGATTTTGATGTTTTCCAATAATTCACCATCTTTTTAAGATCTGGGATACAGCAGGGCAAGAGAGATTCCGCAGCATCACTCGTGCTTATTACAGAGACGCGCAGGGTAGGTCCATGAATTGAAACTTTCTTTGGGTGTGCCACATTTTGGGTGTGTCGCTACTTGCTTCTTTTACCTTCCAGTTGGTGGCAGTTGCTTAGTTCCTAACCATAGATTACCTGTAAGCTGTTAACTTGTATTGTAGGTACCTAGGAGTCAAGTGCCATTAAATACAGTAAAACCTCTGTCGTATGAATGAAGTATTCACAATCAGAGAGTATTTAACGTGGGAGTTAGCAGATCTCATTTAACACTGCACATACTTCAGTATGACTCAATTAATTTTGAAAGTTATTAAATTAACACTCACTGTATGACATTTATGACCATGCTGTTATAGAGACTTGACCACTTCTTAGAAGAGACATGTTCTCATGTGCAGGTTTTACTGTATTTGCTGCCATTGCATATTTTGAGATGGCTACACTCATACGTATAATCTGTTTTTAGATGTGAGCATTGGGATTTGTAATAAATCGCTAAAAACATATTAACTCGACTGTTCGAGGTGTTTCAGGAAACATTAACTCAGCTTTACCTCTCAACGACAAACAATAAACACTACTTCAATACACATGGGAATTCACAATTTATATACCAGGAGACAACATAATTTCTACTATAATTGCTTCATGGCTCATTGCTCTTGAAATTAACTGATTTGAGTTTCTAAAAATGGTTAAAAAATGAGAATGTGGATTATTGCACACTTTTAAAAGTGGATAGTCCATGTGACATATTTTTGAAATGATCTTTGGTAAACATTTAATTTTTAAAAGCAATAAAGGTTAATAATTTATTCAAATTCCTGTATTTTTGTTTTATAAAAATCAAACTTCAATAACAAAACAATCAAATAAATATAAATCATGTAACTTTGACTCCATATAACATTTTTAAGCTCTGAAAACCTTTAACAAATATTAAGCTAGGGCATTAGAATAAAACACATTTCTGTCTCCCTATGACTTGCCCGTTAGCTGATATATAAAATCTAATTATGGTAATTTACATCTAAAATAACATCTACTGGATTGTACTTTTCATCATAAATAAGATAATAGCATCATCTAATTTCTATAATAACTTCTCTTATAGTATAACTGGTAACTTCTCTTGAATTTTATTATAGAATTCCTAAATCTATTGCTTTAATATAGAAACTACAGTATGATGTTATTATAAAAAACAGCTAACATTAAACTGAAAAGATTATTTTAGAAATGGTTTGATAATTGTGTTAAGATACACATTGTATTGTAGTATTGATAGGACAATAATATAAATGAAGTATGGTATCGGATAACTTTATGAGTTAAAAGTATGTTCTAAAATAGCAGTAAACTTTGAGAATGATCTACAAATAATTAACTTAGCTAAATTCAAATTATGGAAAAGCAAAATATCAAATTTGAAATAATAAATGTAACTTGTTCTTACCAAAATTTTAAAAATATAAAGTCCAGGTTCAGAGAGCCTAAATACCATCAAATGATAAATTGTCAGTTGTGCTCCAAATTTTTCTCCAAATTCAAATAAAATTCTCCATAAGACATAATTATATAGGTTTCAGGGTATGATTTGCTTGACAAGATTTAGTTATAGACTCTTGGGCTGTTTCTCGAAGTTATCCAAAATTATGATTAGTGAAATGGAGTTTTCCTTTAGGGTATCGCTGTGGCAATACGTAAAGACGAATTGAATTTCTGGGTTTATTATCAACAAAATTTCTGAGAAACTGAGACTTTGTATATAGTAGATGGCTATTTAGAAATATGGCAAAACACTTATGTACACTTTGACTTGAATATCAGCTGCTCTTGTTTTTTCTTGATAATCATTTATTTCATATATATATAATAATACAATATGTAGTACAATAGTAAAGTTTGACTACAAGTACAAGTTACAAGTAACATACTGTAAAACGGGTAATTTTGACACCGGGAAATTTTAGCGATTTTTCAATTTTAGGGGGTTTTAGCGCGGGAAATTTTAGCGAAATGAAGATTAATCTTTAAAAAATCAAATTAGCGAAATGCATTAGAAATTTTATAATTTATGGCAGAAGAAGAATGACGGACATGACAGAGGAATTATCAAAATGTAACACTTCTAAAGCACATGGTATTGGTCCAGACTACTGTAATCTCATCTGACTAATCACAAAATCACGGTAGCATTTAAAATCGTTGATTTTTCGGTCCAAACTAATCTCAAATTACAAACCGGAAGTCGAGCACTGATCGAAAAGCTTCTTAAATACTAGTATTCATGTAGTTTCGCGGGAATTTGCAAATTTTAGCGCCCGGTTTATTTTAACCCCGGTTTATTTTAGCGAATTGAATTTTTAGCGAAACTATAGCGATCGCTAACAATCGCTAACAATTACCCCTCGCTAACAATACCCGTTTTACAGTAATTGTCTTGTCTTTCCTAACTAATATCCTAACAATTGTGCTATAAGAATACTGTTTGTCCACATTTGTGTTGGTCATTTTATAGAGACTATATTCATAGGAAATTCAATTATTTTAAGCACCCAAGAGGCAGCATAATGGTTGGTGAGGCGGATCTCTTCTCAGGTCGTAAATATGGATTAGCTTCATTTACAAAATTGGACCTGACAAGGACAGCATATGTTCAATTCTTATGAGAATGCACAAAGGCAACCTAAGAACACAGATAAATGATACAAAATCCTTACCACCCATTATAACTATAGATGTAGGTTAGATATTGAGTGGTTAAGATAATGATAAGATAAGTACAAGAATGGTTTGACTAGAACATTGATAGATTGAATGTGGCAAATGAGAATTGAGATGCAGTAATATTGGAGAATGAAGATAATTTCTCTATGTGAGATAAAGTACTTAGGAACATTTAGCTCACGAAGTTGCTTAATTTAACCATATCCAATGTCGTTACCTCTAATGGCTGTAATGAATAGACTAAAACCCTTTTATCCTGTTATCTCACTTAGATATTGTGGCAAATAGTTTTAGTAATAGAGGTTAGGATTCAGTCCCATTCAGCAAAAATATGAGCATATAGGAAGGAAAGATTAAATTAGGTTAAAGGAGTGGTATCGATATGGAGAACTTTTTGAACACAAGTTTCTCTTAAACCAGTCATAAAAAAATCTAAAAATTTAACACATCGTCAATTTAATGGTCATCTTTTGAATGGTAACAATATAATTTGAAAAATATAATATATTATACTTTCATCTATATTGTTTTAGAAAACACATCAAACACTAGTTTTGTTCTTGGCATCATGTTTCCAGAGTAAAATGAAACATCTTTCCGAACCTCATTGGAACAAAACGACATAAACACAACATGTTTAGGTCTCTCAATATTGTAATTGTACAAAGGAAATTTTTGGTTGATTTTAAAAAAGTATCTTGTTAATGAAATAAAAGTTTTATCTTGATTTTTATCGATTTTGCGATATTTTGTTTTAATTTTTTGAATACTTTTTTAAAATCAACCAAAAATTCCTTTGTATAACTATAATATTGAGAGGTCTAAAACATGTTTTATATGCTATTTTGTTCCAACAAGGTTCGGAAAGACATTTAATTTCATTCTCAAGAATTGGTAGAAAGGAGCAAAAACAATTGCACTAAAAAAACAAAAAAATTTAACAAAAACAGTTATATAAAATATTTCTAAATAATTTTTCATTAAATTGTTGTCATCAGTCAACATTACATGAATTTTTTTTATTTATTTATTTGCCAAACACTTTTTAATCAGTGGCACAATGAAAAATTCCAGTGTGGCAGTACATAAAACAAATACGTATACATAAAATACAGTACAATACAGATAGATAGATAAAATAAATATGTTTAATTGTCCACATGTTATGAGTTTAAAATATCGTTATTTATAGTCACTAAAAATTGTTTGACACACTTGTCAAACAAGAATCCTTGGTCTTTGCCCCAAATGCTAAAAACAACATCTCCTAGGCACCACTTTAATTTTCATTTAAAGGAAGCGTTAAGAACATATTAAATACATCAGGGGAACATGAGGTTTTAATTCTGTTGTAAAATTCATTTCTTTCACGTTGGTTGTGACTACATGTAAAAAATCTGTGTGTTAAATCATAGATTGGATGAAGGGAACAAAGTTTGCAAAAACCATCATCACATTTTCTTCTTTTGAGGTCAGTTCCAATACCTAAACACCCAGTTCTGGCTTTGAACTTCAATCTCTGTCCAACAAAATCATTACTTGAAGTAAGGTAATTCTCCAGAAATGGGGTTTGTTTGATTGATTCATAAAATTCTAGTGAAGATTTCGAGGAACATTCAGATAGAAAATTACTTTTGTGTTGTTGGGAGGATATGGTCAAAAAAGAATCATACCATTCATTGTCATCTCTAACACAACATCATCAAGGCCATGTTCAATGTCAATTAAAATGTATGTTTTCAAAATATGGCCAACATGTTTTTACTCTTCCCTTGAAATTTTCAAACAGTTTATCAAAAATTGCCTTTTGTAGGCCGTCCCTCATGGAGAACTTAAGATATAAAAAGTAATCAATTTGTCTTTTCTGAATAATGTTAATAATACTTCTCCAGCCAAGGTCACCTAACATTGCTGCCTTGGCAGGGTTACATTTAAGTTGAAAAATTGATTTGGCCAATTGATATTGCATTGAAGAAAGGGTCTTTTCAGAGGTCTTGTCAAGAATTAGAATTTAAAATACCGTGTTTTTTACAGAATGTTTTCAATGATTGGTTTAAGAGAAAAACATTGTTGAATTCAGTTCTCCATATCGATACCACTCCTTTAAATAATTTAAAAACCATATGCTTTGCTATGTCATTCCTTTAGGGAAATTATAGATGGAATATGTATTTGAAAGATTTCTTTTATATTTTTTTTAAAGTTTAAATCTCACCCAAGTTTGGCTCTTATAATGTCCCAATCATACACTGCCATGAAATAAAAACATTCTCTTCAACTAATCACTAGAGT